GCTCTCTGTTTCAGTAGCCTGGGCCCCTCAGTGACTGGGGAACCCATCAATCAGATGAGGTTCATGCAGCCTCTAGGGAGAATCTTGTCAAATGTAGAGATGTTTGAGAATGTCCATGGCACTGGAAGGAGAAAAATCAAGGTCAGGCCAGGAGGAAAGAAAAAGAACAGCGTGGTCTGTGGCTGGTGCCATGTGGATGGGACCAATCTGGTCAGGTAGCAACCTCCCTACTGGGTAAGTGCTGTCCTGCTTTCTACATGAGGAGGCTGAGACCGCCAAGTTCACATGATAGCACAGTCCCCATTAGAGGAAACCCTTCAGTAGTGAGAGGTTAGTGAGCCTGGGGCTGGATACAACAGCTCCTTCTGGCCCAGCCTGGATCTACTATGAGGATACCATTTGAAGACGAGGCCCTGGGGTCCCGTAGTCAGGGGAGGTCAGTTTGGGCCAGCTGACCATCGCTGGGGAGGCACCTCCGGCCTGAGCTTGGTGACAGCTTCCCAGAGGGCCCTTCTCCCAGTTGGTCAGTCTGAGTCTTTTAATTGGGGTCCAAACCCTCTTCACCTGCCCCTCTTACTGACAAGCTTTCAAGTGTGTCCCTTGACACAGTGTCCCCAACTCTGCTCTTTGGACTCATGACATTCAGCAACAGAAATAAATGCAGTTAACACCCATGGAAAGAAATGCTCAGAGAGATGGAGTGATTTTCTGGGACCCCAATACTAGATGTCATCAAGCTAAACTCGGAAGTCTGTAGGCACATTGCAGGGGCCCTCATCTCTTAATGTTTTATATATATCATACAGTATAAAAACCGTGATTATGACATGCCAGAACCCGAGGTCCCCTCTGTGGTAGTAATTGTCCCTTTCTCACAGAAATCTGGCTCTGCAGAGACACCTTCCTCAGCCACCCTTTCCGGTCTCCCTCTGGAGGCTCCTGGGCAGGGCATGGTCTTGGCCACTCACCCCTGTAGGCGTGGGAATGGACCCGTGGCTTTTCCCTCAAGAGCTCCGATGTGTTCACTGCTTGGTCAGCTGCAGCTCAGCACCCACACTGAGAGGAGGGAGCCAGTGTGCCCCGTGGATTCAGGACTTGTAAAAATATGGAACCCCGAGACAGTTTGTGAGGTGCCAGAAATCAGAGGGAGCAGCATCGAGGCCTGGGGCCACCTGGAAGCTTAAGCAGGAGTCTGGGCCAGGATTGGTCCCAAGCTGGAGCCAGGCAGCGTTTGGTTATAGAACTATAGTTCTCCATAGTTTGGGATGGCTTGGAATCTGTACATAGCTGGACAGGAGCTTCAGGGGCCGATCAGAGCAACGGGAGAAAGCCCAGGAAACCCAGGACTTCTGAGAGCCCTCTCCGGTCCGCGTGTTGCCCTGCTTAGCAGTAGGAGCTGGTGGAAGTTGCATCAGGCAGAAGCGGTGCCTCAGGAGAGCTCTTCCAGCTGCCTCTCAGGACTGCTTTGCTTTGCTGAGGGGTTCTCCAAGGACTGGGGTTCTGCCTGGGAAGAGATCCCCCCGGCCTCAGGTGGCCTCTGCCACGTGGAACCAAGCCCTGAAGCATGTGTGAGAAGCCTTGTGGAAGGATGGGTAAAATGCACACTTCTGGCCTCTGCCTAAGGTATGCAGATGGATGCAGGGACCCCAGGGAGTGGCCGGACTTCACTGCATTTTTATTAAGCACTGCCTCAACCTTTCATCTCTGCAGATTCTGGGAAGCCCCTTTAAGGAGCCCTAGTGCTCAGAGTCAGCAAACCTGCCTTAGGAATGGGAGCCTCTGAGAAGCATCAGACCATTGGTGTGAACACATGGACCACACCACACTGGTGTCTGCTAGGAAGCTGCACCCTGAGCCCACACTAAGCTCAGCCCTGAACATCCCCGCGTGCTGAGCACACATTGAACAAATGTGGCCTACTCCGTAAGGGGACTCACTGTTCCACATAGTGGGCAGGAGTACACCCTCCAGCTTGTTAAGAGGTGACCGCGTACTGCCGAAGACCACATGTTTCTGGTCACATTAAATGTGTCCCTCTGTGCCCGATTCTTTTTATGTGGAATAGCACCGTCAAGGTGTTGGTACTCTGCTCCTTTTCCTGGCTGGGTAATATTCTGAAAGGGCGTGCCTTTTGTTTGCTCACAGATGCACTCTGGGCATTTCGGTTGAGATGAGAGAGTTTGCCAGCTGTGTTCTAACCATGCCTACTGTGTACATATGATCTGTAGGAAGCTTACCCGTGAAACAAACACTGTTATGATGCCACAGAATAGGCCTTTGAGGCTCAGAGAGATGAAATGACTTGTCCCCAGGGTCATTAAGCCAAAAAGCTGCAGATGCAGGGTCCCCCAGTCCTACACAGCAATGACTACTGTGGCCACCTGGGGGACCATTAAGATTGCCTTCCAAATAACCACAGCTGGGGTCTGCCCCCCACACCCCCCCAGACTCTGAGTCAGAATCTCTACAGCTGTCACTGCTAGCTAGGAGTGACTTTGTGCCCACTTCTTCCTTGGGGGACACAAGCCATGTGTGCAAACATTTTGGGGTATCATAAGTGGTAGGCGGGGCACTACTGGCATCCAGAGGGGAAAGGCCAGAACGCCCCAGAGTAAAGAAGGGTCAGACTCGAGAAGACACCGAGGCTGCGGGCCTAATTACAGAAGTCCGGTGGGCTGTCAGGCTGGTTTTCTGTTCGGCCTCCCTGTCGGCTTGCACACCTGTGTGCAGAGGGCATGGGAGGAGCAGAGGCTCACCTTTCCCATTCAATCCCATTGGGAAGGCTTGGCCACACCTTGGGTGTGACACAGAGGCCTCCAGGAAGCTGGCTTGCTCTCTTCACGTTTTCGTCAGACACCATCCCCTTCAGAGGAAAGCAGGTAGCACTGCAGATGTGGTGGCTGCTGCTGCCTGCAGGAGGCCTGGAGCTGTGCAGAGAGGAGGCTGCCCCAGCCTCCTGTGTTTGCACAGTAAATGGTGATTCATGACAAGGCTCCCACCCCTCGGAGAGCTCGCCCAGCCTGGCCCGGGCCTGGCTGGCTGCAAGCCCTTGGCTGGCCTCCCCGGTAGCCATGACTCAGGTTTTCCACCTGTAAAATGGGAGGGGTGTCTCTTGCTTGCATCCCCAACACTAGCAGCCCCTACCACACCCCCCCCCTCCTACTCCATCAAAGGCAAGTCTGAGAAGCCGCCTCTGTGGCTGCTGTTTTCGCTGCTAGTAAACCTGCCTTAGCAGTAGCTCAATTAAAAACCAAGGGGCTTCCACACTGAATGTCAGGCTTAATAATGTGCCCATGTGGGAGGAATTAGCAGTTTTATCCCTGGCTCCTCAACACGTCCTGGAGCCCACAGGCAGTGGGGTGTGGTGGTGCCTTTGAGCACCAAGCCAGGCATCGGGACCACAGGGCTGGCCAGGTCACTGGGAAGTGGGTGGAAGCTTTGGAAGTCCCTAAGTGCACCTGCTACTCAGTAAGGCTCTCCAGCCCTGGGGACAGAGGAAGACAGTGATATGTACCATGACATGGAAGGAAAGGGTTAAGCCTGGGCCTCACAAGGCTGCTGCTCAGGCTCCTGGCTCCCGGATGGGGAGGGGATGGGGAGGTCTGGGGGCCCTGGCATGGGAAAGACCTGGCCTTGTGCCCAGCCCCAAGCTCTAGGACAAGAGCCAGAAGCTCAAGCTGACTCACCAGGAAGGCAGGGCTGTGGAGGGAGGGAAGAAGGAAGGGAGGGGCCTATGGGACTGGGAGGGACCGGACTGCAGCTAGAATTCTCTTGTCACTTAGCTGGTGGTGCACCTGTCTCTGTTCATTGTCTCCTTCAGCCTGCCTTCTGTGAAGGGCTGAGGGGTGGCTTGGGGTGCTGGGCCCACTGAGGAGGGTTGCTATCTCAGCCAGGTGGGGACCAGTCCATAGATGAATGTGAATTTCTGCTGGCCACGTGCTCTGAAGGCTGCTGGCAGGGAATGTAGAGCAGGTCTGCCCTGCCTCAGCTTTCAGTCACTGTGCACGGAGAAGCACAGAGATAGGACACACCCTCCTGCCCGAACTCAGCCACCTCAGCACCTCTCTCCCGGGGCTGAGGGCAGCTCCTATACGGCATCTGAAAGTGAGCCTTTCTCCAGAGAAGGGCTAAACAGGAGGGAGCAGGAGAGACAATGGAGTGGGAGGGAGCAAAGAAGAGGGAGTTTGGCCTAGGCACCCTCCCAGAGGAGGCCAGGCTGAGTGGGACCTGAGGTGATGGGGGGTGGGGAGAGCCAAGGAAAGCACAGATGATCAAAGGTGGGAGCATGCAAGGGCTGGGCGCTTAGAAGTACAGTGCTTACCCAGCACGCCTGGGGACCTGGGTTCCACCCTCAGCACTGCAAAATGTGCACATGCATGCATACACTATTATCTATGTCTTTATTCATGCATCCATGCATGTACACGTTCACCTACCCATCTGTCTACCTATTATGTATCTATCATCCATCTATGTGTATAGCTATCATTCTATCTATTTATTATCTATCTATCTATCTATCATCTATCTATATCTAAGAGAGAAAGACAGGGAGAAATAGAATGTTCTAGAAGTTCTAGAAATATGATGGGGAATATAGTGAGTGATGGAGGGGGACCTCTGGAAAATGGAGCCTTGGGGGCAGATCCTGGTGCGTGCAGCTTACAGTAAGAATTGCCTACAAGCTTCAGTTGGCTGCGCCCCAAGCTCACACGGGGCTGTGAGTCTGGGTCGAAAAGTGTAAATAAAAAATTAAGCAATTTGAGTACCGGAGACCATGTTTAGGGTGTGGGCTGCACAAAGGCTGCCTCTCCTGCAGGGAAGACAGCCTGGGTTCAAGCAAATGGTGCATCATGAGGACAAATTGGCTTGAGTGGCTTGCAGCTCTTCCAAGGGTGTGATGTTTGGAGGTCCCGCTTGGGCCTCCATTCCCACCCTTTCTGCTGCGTCTCTGGAACAGATTTCTCTGGGTCACGGTGTTCTTTTCCTCTTGCCCTCAGCTCAGCGCTCTGCCCACGAGCTGCCCATGGTGGAGAGACAAGATGTGGACAGCTGCCTGGTCTACGGGGGCCAGCAGATGATCCTCACGGGCCAGAACTTTACGGCTGAGTCTAAGGTTGTGTTCATGGAGAAGACCACAGGTCAGTTGCTTCTTCGCTTTCTCTTGCTTCTCTGAGCCAGACAGAAGTGAGCCGCACACCACACTCGGCCTGTTGGGTAACTTCCTGTTCTGGCTGACTCTCCAGTGACCCACAGCCACACAGGTCACCATTGATGTGGCTGACATGCTTGAATTGGTCCTTGGATGTTTCCGTGGAGACTAAACGTGTCTCTGCTTTAATCACCCTTGTTTTTGCTTTGATATATTTTCCTCACACAGGCAAACAGTTTAAAAAATACCTTCTCCTATTTCTAAGAGGAGAAACCAAGAGCTTTGCTGCACTGAAGTGGGCGGTGGGGTCTCTAAGGCCATTGCAAAGTGGGCACTTTGCCACTGAGGTTTGTTGCATAGGAAGAGCATCTTGGGAGGAGGCTGAGTTGGAGTGTGGGTCCCCTTTTGGAAAGGCGAGTGTTGGGTCAGGTGGACTCTGGACCTCCTTAGACAAACCGAGTCTCATCTGTCGAAGGGAAGGTGTCTAGGAGTGGACAGCCATGGGCCTAGATGGAGTGGCAGAGCCGCGCTAAGGTAGCATTGAGGTCTCTGTTATAATCTTGTGATTAGATGACTCATGGGATAGCTTCCAGTGGGGACACGGATAGCAGCAAACAGATGCGGGAAGCCCTGTTGCTATCACAGCAGAAGGGGACACAGAGCAAATTCCGTGAAAAGCCTCGGGTTTGGGCAATGGGTGTGCCTGCCCTAGGCACCTGTGTCTAGGTGGTCCTGGGGACAGAAGACACCCTGGGGTGAAGTGAAAGTAAAAGTGACAACATGGCCTGCCCCCAGGTGGGAGGGGCTTACGGTCAAGTCCTTTCCCAGACACAGCTGGAGGATAGTGGTGCAGCCCTCTGTGAGCGGAGCGGAGCTTGTTCCCAGCGTCCCGGCTCCCCCACCTGGTGCTCTGAGCTCTGCCCTAATCCTGATGACTGAAATGCCTACTGTCACTGTCCAGTTTGTCCTGATAGGCAGAACTGACCCTGGTGGCAAATCAGCAACATGGCTTAGAGGTCCCTGGGGAGGTAGGAAAAGAACAGAAGTGAGTGTTAGGGCATATGACCTGCTGCCTATCACACACACACACACACACACACACACACACACACACACACACACACACGCACGCGCACACACACACGCACGCGCACACACACACGCGCACACACACACACACACACACACGCATGAGCCCTACTGGAGTGCTCTTTCAGAGCAGGGGGCAGGTGGGAGGCCGGGGCTGACCCACAGGACTCCGCTGGTCAAGTCTCTCTGCATTTCCGTGTCCCTATTTTCATCCATGGTTTTTTGCTGCATGGACGTTTGTGCCGATGTTCCTGGCCTCTCGGAACCTGGCTATAAGCAGATGGGGTACATCTTATAGTGTGTTATCAGCCCATTTCCTTTATATGGAGATTGTGTAACCCAGGCAGAGACATGGTTCTATTTGGTCTGGGCCCAAGGCTTAGTTCCTTTCCCCTTTGCAGTGATGGCTTCCTTAACAAAAACAACTGAAGGATGGGCTTGCTTTGGCTCACAGTTAAAGGGTCCAGCCTGTCACAAGCAGCTCGCCACACTGCATCTGCAGTCAGGAAATGGTGCTCAGCCTGGTCTTCTCTTAATCTGGTCAGGCAGTTAAGTGGATCTCCCATCCCATTTAGCCTTGTCTAGATCGCCCCTCACAGACACAGCTGGAGACTTGCCCCTTAGTTGATTCTAGGTCTTGTCAAGCTGACAATATTAACCATCACAGCACAGTGAGGTGATAGGCTGCCTGAGTGGATGCAAGTAACCCGAGGCGTAAACACCCAGGTAACCGCGTATCCCCAGGTTGGAAGCATCTCCAGGATCAGGATGCTATTCTCAGGCCGGTTGTGAATATCGACAACACGAACACTCTAAGGGGGAGAAAGCTAATAAGACACAAACGTTTGTTTCTCATGTTCAGAGTGACAGACCCTCTGTGGTGACAGGAACATCTAAGAAAGGACCGGATGTTGGGACCTCTTGCTGGGGGCTGCCAGCAAATTCCAGGTGTCTGGGCCAATAGCTTTGATAAACTGCTTCCAGAATGAGTGAGCCAGTACTGACTGAGTGTCACTAGCTGTAAATGGACTTCCAGCTTCCAAATAATGACACAAAGATTATTTATTAATTATGAAAGCTTGCCCTTAACTTGGGCTTGTTCCCAACTAGCTCTCATAACTTAAATTCGCCTACTTCTGTTAATCTATATTCTGCCACATGGCTTGTTACCTCTCCTCCATACTGTACATCGCACTTTCTCTGTGTCTAGCTGGCAAATCAGATTCTACCCTGAGTTCCTTTTTCTTCCTGGAAGAGATGCCTATCCTCTCCTGCCTAGCTATTGGCCATTCAGCTCTTTATTAAACCAATCAGAAGGTGCCTTGGCAAATGAAGTTAAACAGAGACACATCTTCACAGTGTACTAAAGTACTATCCAACAACAGTTGGCTGCTGTGCAACCCTCTTGGTTTCCAGAGCCAGCCACACCTTGACCTCACCATGGGAAGCATTTGGCCTTGAAAAGTCAAGTCGAGCCAGTGGGAACAATCATAATGGCACATTTCCCATCTAACTCAGCATGCTGAGTTATTATTATGCCGTTATTATTAAGCTGACAGTCAAAGGTCGGGTCCGTCACCCATAGACCGTATATAGCCTCCGCCTGTGGTTTGGCCTCCCTCTGTAAACTGGCACATCACTCTTGCCCCTGGAGTAGGGGGGCAAATGGAAGTCATGTGCCCTGAGATCACAGCTTGTGGACATTGAACACCTGTGGTTGTCTTTGTGGCCCTCCAGCCTCCTCAGAGCTCTGGCGACATGCCTCGTGTGAGACACATGTTGTCTGTGTGTGGGTTTGAGTTGGACAGGCTTGGGAGATGGGGGTGGGGCTGTCATGTGCATGGACCCAAGCCCAGGCTTTGAGGTCAGACTGTGTGATGGTTAGTTTTTAGTGTCACCCTGTCACAAGCTAGAATCACCTGGGAAGAGGGTTTTTGTTTGTTTGGTTTGGTTTTTCAAGACAGGTTTTCACTCTGTAGCCCTGGCTGTCCTGGAACTCACTCTGCGGACCAGGCTGTCCTCGAACTCAGAGTTCTACCTGCCTCTGCCTCCTGAGTGCTGGGATTAAAGACCCGTGCCACCATGGCCAGGCAGAAAGAGAGTTTTAATGAGGACTTCTCTAGATCAGGCTGAGTGACATGTCTGTGGAATACCATCCTAATGTGGAAGGAGGCAAACGTCGTGAGTAGCACAGGAGTGAAATAAAAACAGCTGCCTGCACGTAAGAAACAAACGGCAGCATGGTGCACTTACTTCTTTCCTCTTGGTTACGGGTGCTGGCTGACCAGCTGCCTCAGGTTCCTGCCTCTGTGCCCTCCATGAAAGGACGGGCTCTGACCCGTGATTGGAAGCCGAAGAAACCGTTCTTTCGTTTTGTTATTACATGTTGCAAGGGAAGACCGAAGAGTTCCCCCAGAGAGCCAGGAGACTTTCAAAAGCAACATTCCCTAGTCCTGAGCCAAGCTCTGGTCTAAGCATTTGCCAAGGCTAGCCAATCTGATTCCCATGATAGCCCTCCAAGTGAGCTACTCTTCCCCAAGTTCTACAGTGAGACCAAGCACAGAAACATCAGATAAAGGCCACACATGTGGTACCAGGCAGTGTGGATCCAGGGTCTATAAAAACCCAGACCTGGGGTGATTTGTCTGAGATCTTTGTCTCCCGGAGCATGGACTTGAACCGGGTTGTAGAGATGGAGAGCCCTGAGTTCTGCAGAGTTGTTGGTATGATATCATTGCCCAGAGTTTCCCACACCATCTTCAGGATCCCAGGGACCAGGGAGGGTATCCCCCAAGAAGTGGGCTTCCCTGAGAGGGCTGTGTGGCTCCTGTCATCCCTGGCACGGGGACCTTGATAATTTGCAAGGTGCAAAGCTTGCTCTTTTGACCCCGAGGGTTCACTGCCTGCAAGGGAGATCCATGTAACTGAAGTTGGTTTTTCCAAAACTGGTCCTGTGTCCATCTCCATGGACACTTGGCCAGTAGGCACAGCATACAGGGTGGACGGCTGAAGTTTTCCAAGGCAGGGGAATCCCAGCTGCTGTTCTCATTAGGAAAGGTGACAGCTTCGGGCTAATCTTAGCAGCAGGGTTTGGTCATCGGCACCGGGAACCTCAGCATGCTTTTTATAGCTGTCCGCTAAAACAGGCTTGGCACTTTCCACTCCATCAAGAGGGACGAGCTGAGGAGGTGGAAAAACAGCGAGCAGAGGGGCTGTGGGGTGCTGGAGTTAGGAGAGCCCCATGTTTTGGAAAGTGTGGTTCTATTTATAGCGGCAGTCTTAATAAGGATTATTATGAGTTTTGTACTATTTTTAATTCCTCATAGGACTTGCAGGGACCCGTGAGACTGCATTTGCCCATCCCTCTGATCCCAGCTGATCACCTCTCCCCCTGGTTTTCCTGGCTGCAGAGAAACCCTCTTCATTCTGTCTCCGGATGCTCCATGCTTCTTCATGTCCCAGGACCTTGGCATGTGCTGTTGGCTTTGTAATATTCTTCCCCTGTTCCTTTACCCGTGGTGTCTCCTATTACTTACTTAGAAGCCCCTTTCCTTGAGAAGCGTTTTTTGCTCAAACCTTCATGGCTCAAACCCTCGTCCTGATCCAATGATATGCTTTGACCCCCAGTGGTACCCAGTGTGTTTCCTTTGTCTCTGCTGTCTCTGAGATCCAGTGGTCCCCACACTAGACTGGCTCCTTGGGGGCAGGCACTCACTGTTTCCCGCTGCTCTCTCAACTTCTAGAATAGTCTCTGTGAATACTAAGTGTGTGTGTATGTCATGCTGAAGGAACAGTGCCCGAGCTATGCCCATTTTACAGACAAGGTGACTGAGGCTCAAAGATATCAAATTGGGGACCCTGGGTTAGCCAAGTGGGGAAAGATCTGGAACCCTAGAGTGG